GGACTATCGTGGTCATCTAGTCTGACCTCCTGCTCATTGCAGGCCACAGAACCTTACCCAGTGAAGCACGTTGAGCTCAGATTGAGAGTGTTACAGACATGCAAAATATTTTTATTTATTAATATTTAGTACTTGAGATAGGGTCATATATTTCCTACCCTCCCCACCCTTCCCAATGTCTGTAAAGACTTGCCTAATAACCTTGTATGTTGTTGTTTTGAGCTAGGCAGAACAGCGACTCATCGGCAGTTACAATGATAACTATAATTAAGGAAAAATGCTTCCGCAACTGAGGCTCTTTCCTCTGATGTAAGCACATCCATATCCTTCCACAGGATTAATTCTTTCAAGGGTTTGGTGTGGATGTGGGCACCTGGTGCTTATATGGGACATTTAGTGTTGTTTTAGGTGACATTTCCAGCCAGAAAATCCATTAAGAAGCTTGTACTGTTCTGGAGTCTTCATATTTCTCCACTTGGTTTATGCTTATAGCTATAGCTAGACTTTTTTAAAAAAATCAAAACAATAGAACTAAATAGAACAGAACAGACTAGTAATCAAAGAGAATATTCAGGCCACGTGAAATAATCTGCCACCCTTTAAAAAAAAAAAAAGAGGATTAAAAACTAAAGCTCATTGGAAAATTTCCACAGAAATTTTGTCAAAACCCAGGTGGGGAGAAAATCATTTTTCTGTTTTCCAATCACCCTTGTTGTGGTCGTTTCTGTGTATTATTTATTATTTTTATTACAGTAGAGCCTAAAGGCTTCAAGCAAGATTAGGGTAGTATTATGCAAAGCACCATGCAGCCACACAGTAAGAGATAGTCCCTGTCCCAGAATGCTTACCATATAAAGACAAGAAAGACAAAGGAAGGCTTATTATCTCCATAGGAAACAGAGATTAAGGGGCTTGCCAAAAGGGGCATAAAGAGTCCATGACAGAGCTGGGAATTGAAGCAATGGTCTTGAATCCCAATCTAGTGCTTTAACTACACCACTGTCTTTCCTCTCTTCTTCTGTCCATGCTCAATAATGCTGTAGGCCTTGATCCTGCATGGTGTGGGTACAGCATGTTACATGTATACGCACAAGGTAAGAAATTCTGAGCTGGGACAAGGAAGGCAGGTGAACCTGATTCAGTGTTAATGAGAGCACCACCTGTATGGCCACCCGGTTACTTCTGTAGGAATCACACTGAATGGGCGTGTGAGTTAAGCAATTCCTCTGCCTGTTGAGGATCAAACAAACTCCTAGACCCAGCCACTCCCTGTCAACATCCTGGGCCTGACTCTCCCACTGCCTCTTGAAATCATTGACACCAGTGAAAAGTAGGTGTAAAAATGTTACTATAGTGATTTGATACAAGGTGTAAGCCCCTTATCTCTGCCGAGGGCCTGATGTAAAGCCCACTGGAGCCAAGGGAGCATATCCATTGACAGCTTTGAGTTTGGGTCAGGCCACTAGCACCTAGTCTTACTTGACTCGTGTGCTTTCTGTTCACACTTGCATTAGGGCATAAGGACTTTGGCCCAGACACTCAGTACGCTCTCGAATGAACTCACACAGAAAAATGATAAAATACAAAAATCCCCTATCACCCGTGGTCAAACACTTTTCCCAAAGCAAGTCTCTGACCTCTCAGTCCTCATCCTCAAAAGAAACCTGCACACCTCCAAAACACAGGCCTGGGAACTGAAATGCATAACTCTGCAGGACACTAAAAACCATGGACTGGTTTTATGGCTCGTTATAACAATTTGTAACATTTCTGCCTGCTAACCCTTAATAGCCCACTTCATTTAAGTGGTCTCTTACAGCATGCGTGAGCCCTTGATACTTAACAATCTGTCCCAACTTGTATTTAGCTCAGACTCTCTGGTGAGCTTCCCCAGACCTGAAGAAGAGCTCTATGAAGCTCCAAAGCTGGTCCCTTCCACCAACAGAAGTTGGTCCAGTAAAATATATTACCTCCCCGGCTTGTCTTGCTCACATCCTGGGACCAACGTGGCTAAAACAACACTGGAAACAGATCCTCCAAGGTATTTAGGCTCCTAAATTTCACTGAAGTCAAGGGCCAGGAGGTGGTATCTTCCTCCAGCAAAAAATATTTACCCTCAGTTGGAGTTTCCTTTTCATTTCCTTTGAGGATCTGGGCCTCTGTGTGCTTGCCGCAGCAAAGACCCACAGGACCAAGCAGTGCAAGGCAATATTGTAACGAACAATTGAACTAGTGGCTTGAGTCACTCTTGCTTTGCACCTCCATGCACACATTCACACCCGTATGCTGCCTCTGCACGCTAGCATCTTACATCCCCTTTGCACAGCCCTAGATGGTAATACAAGATGCCCACCAGAAGGGAATCAGGCCTCTTTCCTGATCATAAATAAGGCAGCGAGTTAGTCACGGAGGTCAAGGATGTCAAGGATTCCATGACTTTCCAGGACTTCTGCAGCAGCCGGTGTGGCTGGTGCGGGGGTCGCCTGAGCAGCTCAGGCAGCCCCAGGGCCAGCCACACTGGCCGCTGCTGGGACAGTCGCAGGTGCCCCCAGCAGCAGGAGTTGGGGTGGGGAAGGCGCTCAGGGCTAGTGGGGTAAGGGCATGGGAGGGGGTTAGGACTCCGGGTGGCGCTTACCTCGGGGGGCTCCCCAGGAGCAGCAACATGTCCCTCCTGCAGCTCCTAGCTTCTTGCGCTGCCTCCACCTGCAGGCACCACCCCAGCAGCTCCCATTGGCCACGGTTCCCAGCCAATGGGAGCTGTGGAGCTGGGACTCGGGGCAGGGGCAGCGTGCGGAGCTATGAGCTGAGGGAGGGATATGTTACCGCTTCCGGGGAGTGCCGCAAGTAGCCAGGTAGGGAGTCTGCCAGGCCCCCCAACCCCTCCGCTCCAGCACCAGCGGTGGTCCTGGGCTGCTCCCTTGTGTCCCCCCTGTGTCCCCCCCCAGAGCACCCGCAGCACCTCCCGGCCCCCCCCGCGCCCCCCCCCCAAGATTTAGTCAGGCAGGTTTACTGCCCGTGACCTGTCCATGACTTTTACTAAAAATACCCAAGACTAAAACTTAGCCTTAATCATAAGGAAGAACAGAAACAAATGTGAAGAACAGAAACAAATGTAAAGAACTTTTTACATCACAAATTAAAATAATGTGAGTTAAAAGCATCATGTTCGATAGACCCGGCCTGACTCCCCTTCCCTTCTTAGGTCAGCCCAACAGTTCAGAATTTGCACACCTGCATTTTTAGTTTTACTGGGACCAGTTGACCACATTAAACAAAACTAGGTCAGGGCCATTTCCGGCTGAGAGCTCCCAAGTAATACCAGCGCACTGAGGATGGTGGGGGAGGACGTTTCCAATTGGGGGTAAAAAAAAGGATGATTTTTGGCTTAGGGGTGAATTAAATGTCCACTGCTGAAATGTCTCCTTTTAACATAACCTTTGAAGGGCGTTTTAAGAGCATCTGTCACAGTCGCATTTTGTTAAATTAGCCAGGCAAGGTGAAATGTGGTTAATTGTTCTTCAGGCGGGATATGTAATTTTTTGAGTTAGTTATTGTGTGTGTGTGAAGGGAGAGGGAGGGAACCTTCATAGCACAGAATGAAAAGTCCCAATACCTCCTACTAGAACTTGGCATTGAATCCCTTGCCCTTCCATTCAGGATATAGCAGTACATTAATTTCTAATGGGCACAACAGCCTGGCATGTTTTTACCCCTCATTGTGTTTTATCTCAGCCTGTGACAGGGCCCTTTGACATGTTTGTAAATGGGCTTGTGTTCTATTGGGATAACCGGACTCCGACATCTATCATAATTAATTCTAACGAAGAAAAACAAATATTCATTTTCTGTACAAAAGATGTCCAAACAAGGATGGAAGGTGCAGTGGGTTAGTTCCATGATTCCATGTATTCCGTGATCAGGACTGCTTCTTTGTTATACATTTGTACAGCACCTAGAACATGGGGCCCTGTCCTGTACTGTAAAAATAAATAATACTCAATTCCCCAGTCACCGTGTCCCTGATTCTGAAATTTACTGTGCACAGGGGGACGACTACATCCACACCGAGGTCAGCGGGGCTCTACACAGGAACGGGGGTGCACCCACACGTGGTACATTGCAGAATCAGGACCCAAATATATGTCAGAACATTTGTCTTTGCTGCAGAATTGTTCTCCAGAATCGAAGTAGAAGCAGGTGCCGTTCCCTACCTGCTCTCAAACACAGTGTGCATCCTATACACAGTTTACTTCACCTCCTCCCTGGGATTTGGTTTTCTTAATACAAAACTAGCAGTAATATATTAATAAAGTTCAGCTCAAACCTTTCTGGCCTTGCCTTTTCTTAGGGATCCTCCCTCTGGACAGATCAGTCCACACCTCAGATCCTCCCTCTGTAGAGAGCTTCTCCTGATATTTGGGTGGTAACAAATCACCTGCCTTTGAGTCAGGAGAACCCACTTAGCCCTTTCTCAGCCTAATCAACACTTGCTATCAAGACAAGGTGCCTCCGGCAAACACTGCCAACCTGTTACACTAACCTTTCATTTGTTGTTTATATTTTTAAAAAGATTAGTTTCTAATCCGTTTGGTTATAAAAATAACAGTAAACAACTCTTCCAAACATGGACCAAGAATAAGCAATGCGGTGACTTATACCCTAATCTGCAGACAGCATAAATCTGAAACCTAAAGACTGCAATTGGAATATCAGCATTGCTAACTGTTTCACAGCTGGGATCAAAGCAGTGTTTAAGATTAAAGAACAAGCACAGGACATAAAGCCAGGTGGATGAGGCACTCTTTGAATGTGAGTGACAGGATGCAAAGCTGGCATTGCCGTGACATTTAGCTCTTTAAGATAGACTTGTCTGGCTTGCGAAAGCACTTAGGGAAACCTGCCTCACCTGCGTGGCAGCATTGTGTGATCTGAATCACACATTGGCACCTGGATTTGTATCAGTGCTTGTTTGTTCCCTATCTCTTTCTTCATCCTTGCAGGCCTGAATCTCGAATCTGGACTCTGATGTTACTGCTTGGGACTTGTTTACTCTACTGTGCCAGAGTGACCATGCCTATCTGTGCTGTGGCCATGAGCAGTCACTTCGACTGGGACAAGAAACAGTCCGGCATTGTTCTGAGCAGCTTCTTCTGGGGCTACTGCTTAACTCAGATCATCGGCGGATACCTCAGCGATCAGTACTGGAACTTTCTTATATTATCCCTTGCTTAGTTTCTGCAATAAAAAGTCTTGGCAAAGTTACTTTGTATCTAACCTCCATCCCAAGGGGGTGAGGATTGATAAACTATCTGTGAAGTACATCGATATCTCTGGAGGAAAAGCACCATAGGCCTGATCCAAAGTCCATTGAAGTCAATGGGAGTCTTTCCATTGACTTCAGTAAGTTTTGGATCAGGCCCTGTGGCTCTGATCCAGCAAAGCACTTACGCACGTGCCCAACCTTAAGTATGTGAGTAGTCCCCATTGGTTTCTAAGTTGGTACTGATCTTAAAGTTACACAAGTACTGAGGTGCTTTGCTGGAGTTTGGCCCATGTGCAGTTTAGGAATTACCTACATGCAAAAGTTGTCGTGCTTTAAACTATGCCGGTATAGTTCAAGCTGTACAACCCCCACTAGTGTGGACACAGTTACATCAATTGGCATTTGTACTAGTACCACTTACCCCCATATAGGAAGAGGAATAAGCTAGACAAGTATACGGCACCTCTACAATTGCATCCACGCTAGAGGTTGTACTGTAGAACTATTGCCATAAAGAATCACACCCCTAACCAAAATAGTTATGCCAGGACAAAACTTGTGTGTAGACCAGGCCTTATTATTATGGGATGGTGACCATTGCAATGCCCTTCCAATAGCCAGCATTAGCCAGCTGCTCACGTCAAGCACAATCTATTTATTAACAAAAGCTAAACACCATCCTCGTGTGGATGGCAACTTTCAGACGGGTTATTCAACTGATGAACAACCAGCGAGGGGCAACATTCCCTGGTCTGCAGGGAAATCAACTCTTTGTTTCTACGTCTCATCCGCGGAATCTGTTTTCTCTCTCTTCTTTCCATGCCCACGTTTCTGTGCTGTTCCTCCCGAGTTTATTCCCCTTTGCAGCCCCCAGTCGTGCTTGGGAAACACATATGCTGCACAGTTTGATTGTATTAATTAAAAAACAACCAAAACACCCAGTCAGCTGTTTTGTGGAAACCCCAGTAATTACCTGCTTGAGTTCATCCCCCAGACTGCGGTGTCCTCAGGGGGCACGGCTTTCATGTAAAATCTTGTGTAAGAAACACAGTCTCGGAGTCAAACATTGTCTGTGCAGTGGCCTGTGCCATCGCATTGTGGTCTTTAATAGACTCTGCAAGCAAAGTACACACAAGACACGAAAGGTTACAGGCTAATGCTAAAGAGCGGATGCAACAGAAAATGCCATCGTCCTTTGAGAAAAAGAGTACAGTGCTAACTACTTGTTAAAACTTCCCCTGCATCAGGGATGATTCTCTCAGCTCTGAGCTTGTGACCAGCCTGCCCCTCCGCATTGCTGATTGGGAAGGGGATCCTGGCTATTTGGGATGGAGTATAGAAAAGGGGATCCCAGTACTGAGCAGGCTGAGAACGACTGCTCCCTCTCTGTTGTTTGTAAAACTCTCTCTGTTGCTTTAAAATCAGGTTTCCCTCCCTGCTGATGTCGCCCTCTTTTATCTGTGTTCACCTTGTGTTTCTAAGGTGGGCTTGTAATTAACACACTCCTCCTTTTGCTTGCTTCCCCGTGGGTGCCCACTTGTCACTGAAGATGTAACTGTATGGACAGGTGGAATGGGCAGTCACTTTCCATCCCAAACAGGGTGAATGTGGCTGGGATTCAGGCACTCATCCCCGCTCTCTGCAGCTCTTGGGGAGCAAGTGGGGATTTCCCCTGGGTACCCCTTCACCCCACAGTGCATTCGAGGGCCTCTCAGATGTGCAGTGAAATGGTAGGGATGATGCCGTGTCCTGCGGCTACAGGATGGTACAGGACACGTGCAGTTCTGGAGATGACTCCAGTTGCGATGGGGAAGGGTCTGCTGTGCTGTGCACCTCACTGAAGGAAGCAGGTGAACGGAGCAGGTCAGCTGGACATTCCTGAAAACATTTGTGGGATGGGAAGGTCAGGTGGAGAGGCCTGGCTGACGTTCATTATTAAACAGCTAGGAAGAGAAGCCTGAAGTCCTGATTCCTAGTCCGTACACCAACCCCATACCCTACCCACAGTTCCCCCTTTACATAATGCATGCTTATCTTTCAGGATTGGAGGAGAAAAAGTCCTCCTCCTCTCTGCATCTGCCTGGGGTTTCATCACCGCGATCACTCCGCTGCTCACCTATATCAGTTCTGCCCACCTGATTTTCATGACACTTGCTCGATTCCTCATGGGACTATTGCAAGGTGAGACAAAAACCCCTGTGCGTGTGTTTGTTCCACCCATGCTCATACAGCAACTCCAGATATAACGGATTCAAATGTAAGTCATAACAGCAATGTGTAAATTGCAATGCTGGGTAGAGCAAACTGTTTCTGAGCTGCCCCCAACAGCTAGAACTCCTGGGCGTATAAAACCAGCTGTGGCTGGGTGCAGAGTGTCCACCAAATTGGGCCAATTGAGAAATTTGTCTCTGAGAAAGGTGCTGTCACTTTAAAAAGCTTTAATCTCTGTGTCTGCCTCTCAGACGGTAAAGGTGCTTCAAAGCACCTGCAATCTGAGAGGCTATTTGACCTTTCGTCTGAGCTTTGATACTTTGGGATGATTTTCTCTTCCACTTGCTGAACTAGGTCTTGGAACTGTGGAAGCCTGGCAAGAGCTACCCAAAAGTTGGCTGGGTGACTTTTTCTTGTTAACCGATAAGAAACTCGGAGTTATTTTCACCGTTTTGTTTCTGGGCTGCTGCCTCCACAGACTGGGTGCCTGATACATCATTATAAATAACTACATTTTTGTAGGTTTCAGAGTAGCAGCCGTGTTATCTGTATTCGCAAAAAGAACAGGAGGACTTGTGGCACCTTAGAGACTAACCAATTTATTTGAGCATCAGCTTTCGTGAGCTACAGCTCACTTCGTCGGATGCATGCAGTACAACATAGCTTCTCAGTGAGGGCCTTTTCTCCTGCTTACTCCTTTTTTCCCCGTCTTTCGTTGTACTCCTCCTTCTCTATGTAAGTGTTTATTATTTTGGGACCACATGTCTACCAAGGACTAGATAAACACTAGGTAGCATCCATTCCAATTTTAACCATATACAAATTAGCCCTTATGTTAACCATTGCAACAGCTGACCCATCCTAGAATTCACCTCTTTCTCCCCCTCCCCCGCGGGAGTTTCACATCCTCTCCACATCTGTCTCCGTAGTATCATGAATGCCAGCCCCCGCATTGAAACCATCTGGTGCCATTATTGTACAAAGTCTTGGGATGCTATCCCATGAGACCCTGCCACTCAGCAGAGCACATGATGTTGTCGTCACCAGAACCAGGATGAATCACCCACTTCACCATAAGGAAAAGCTGGCAACTGTTTAATAAGGATTAAAAGTTACTTTTTCAACCCTGGGGGAGAAAAAGGATCAGTTTTGGTGTGGCTCAGCTACTGTGTAGCGGTGGAGTGCTGACCTGGTGGTTAAGGTTCCCTGGCCTGGGAATCAAGAGAGCTGGGGTCAGTTCCCAGCTCTGCTCAGACTCCTGGTGTAATTTTTAGCAAGACACTGAATTTGTCTGTGCCTCAGTTCCCCAGCTGTAAAATGGGGATAACGACCCTGCCCTATGTCATGGGAATGTTGTGAGGATAAATGCATTCACACTTAGGAGGGGCTCAAATATTACAGTAAGGGGGGGCCATGGCAGCAGATACAGAGAAGGCACAAATGAGCTTCCAAGTGGCCATGTGGTATATATCAAGAGGAGCGGCGGGTTGCCATAAGACATACTGGTGTGTGACACAGTGAGGTCATTGCTTTGAATACCGCAAAGAGCTCGTTGACTCGTTTTGGCATTTATCTATTGTTGGATTTGATTTGAACATGCTCACCCATGAGTGCAAGTTTGAATGATGTGTACCCTGACTGGCAATGGCTGACACTTTCATTTCCACTGTTGTTAGGAGTGTACTTCCCTGCCTTGGCCAGCCTCTTTTCTCAGAAGGTCCGTGAAAGTGAGCGAGCTTTCACATGCAGCACAGTAGGGACTGGCTCTCAGTTCGGGTAAGTTCCCCTTGGCTTTGGGCGGTGAGTGACAGAGGCTCCGGGGGATGCCATAGTTAGATAAAGTGCCATTAAACGGCTGCAGGCAAAAACACCAACCCACAAAGTACATCTGGATCCTGGAGAGTATCCGTTCCAGTTGAAGAAGGCTCTGACAGTTGCTATAGTATATACACACTCGTTACTGAAGTCTTTGAGTCCTTTACAATGTATTGTTCTCAAGTGTATTGAGGATTTTATCTTTTCTTTTGAGCAAGTGGCTTGAAGGAGCTGCTGTTACATTTGGTTTCCAACAGGAGGTGGCATGGTCCAGCAGGAAGAGCGAGACAGACCATCTAGGGTCCTGAGTTCTGTTTCTGACCCTTCCACTGACTTGCTGCATGACCCTGGGCAAATCACTTAACCGCCCCGGGCCTCAGTTTCTGTCTCTGTGAAATGGGGATTAATAATACTTTCCCACCTTTGTAAAGTTCTTGGAGAACCTCTGATAGAAAGGGCTAATGAGCTGCAAAGCAGCGGTAGTATTTTATGCACCATATGTATGTATGACTCCGTTCCATCCTGTGACTTTCTTTTGCTGACAGATGTATTCTGGGATGTAAATGGTGATCTTGCTGGAAGGACTAAGGGTATGTCTACACAACAATTAAACGCCCACGGCTGGCCCCAGTCAGCTGACTCAGGCTTATGGAGCGGAGGCTGCGGGGCTATAAAATTGCGTTGTAGACATCCAGGCTTGGACTGGAGCTTGAGCTCTGGGACTCTGCGAGGTGAGACGCATCCCAGAACCCAGGCGCCAGCCTGAGCCTAAATGTCTACACGGCAGTTTTACAGACCCAGAGCCCGAGCCCTGCAAGCCCGAGTCAGCTGACACGATCCAGCCACAGCTGCTTAACTGCTGTGTAGACATACCTAAGTGGACTAAGGGGTCTTTCCATGCTAAAATGTCCCTGTCTCAGTGCCTGTCATCAGAGTGTACATCAGAGTGCTCTGTGGCATCCTTTCGTTGGCAGGTATTTCAGACATCAGGAGGAAACAGAGGCCTAGATTTGTGACCGGTGTAAATTGACCATGTTCCAACAACTTCAGTAGAACTGTGCTGACTTGCACCAGCTGCAGATTTGAAATACCCAAAGTGTCAAACTAGGAAATAGAGCAGGTTCTTCTCCAGTGCAGTCGCAATAGAATGGTCTATAGTACAGTGGAATGGTTTTTCATCACCAGGCAACCTCTCCTCTCAGCATTATTGAGGTAGGAAAGATTAGCCAATGAAAATGTTTGATAAGATGAACAGCTCCTGAGGGCTGGATAAATAACATCCAATACACCATCGTGTTAACTCAGTAACGCTGATGCATGGATTGTGAGTTTGCCCAAAGAACACTCTTATCAGTCTCATGATCTCTCTGGCCTTTCCTTCCAGGACGCTGGTGATCGGTGGGGCAGGGTCCCTCCTTCTGGACTGGTATGGCTGGGAGAGTGTCTTCTATTTCTCTGGTTTACTCACTTTGCTCTGGGTTTACTGCATGTTCAAATACCTCCTGAATGAAAAAGGTAACCCCCCACCCTATTCATTCATACTGGCAATAGCTGTTCACTAGGCTGTGCTGTGGAAGTGACAGGAACGTGATGTATGGCAATTGTTAACCCTGGCACTTCCACCTCCTCCTTTGGCTGGATTCTGAGTGGCACCCGACCTGCTAGGCCACCTCTGAGCAAACCTACTGGATCAGCCCCACATGTGACTTAGGTGTCCAAAAGGCTGGCTCTTCCTGGTTTGTGAATCTCTCGGGGGCTTAGGAAGAAACTTAGGTGCTTAGAGAACTTTTACTGCAAAAACTTAGGAGCTAAGTGAGCTTAGGCGCCCAGAGGGTTTGGCAGGAGATTCATGGATGGTGGTGGAGCCAGAACTGGGACTTAGATCCTTAAGCGTAAGAAATGGGCATCTGAGTCCGGGCTTTAGGCACCTAAGTACCTTCATGGATTGCAGCCTAGCAGTTGTTAATTTCTTTGTAGGCTTTACAGAAAATGAGAGTTTTAAGGAGGAATTTGAAGGAGAATAATTAGGTGGCTTTTTGGATGTTTACGGGGAGCCAGGAGCACCAGAAGCTCCCTAGAAGTTGGGGGGCACCAACACCAGAACCATGATCCTACCCCTGCTCCACCTCTTCCCCTGAGGCCCCGCCCTTGTTCCACCTCTTCCCCTGAGGCCCCTCCCTCAATCCGCTTCTTCCCCCTAGGCCCCACCCTTGCTCTGCCTCTTCCCCCAAGGCTCCACCCCCACTTGCTCCTCTTCACCCTCTCCTGCCTGTCACTTGCCCTTAAGGCAGGTAAAAAGTGATGGGGCCATGGCCCCCCGGCCCCGCTGTTCCAGTGCCCCGGTGGGGAGCATCTCCTAAGTGTAAGGGGAAGCATGGGAGAAGCACAGAGGTGCTTGTTTGAAAATGTATCAACTGAGCAATGGAGGCAGGCAGGAGGCGGCAGTGAATGGGAGATGATAGCTAGGGTGGGGGATAGGCCATTAAGGGCCTTGAAAGTGAAGACAAGGAGCCTATGTTTGATGCAGCAGAGAAGGGGAACCAGTGGAGGGATGCAAAGAGAAGCGTGACGTGGGCAAAGTGATGGGCTACGAAAATGATCTTTGCAACGGCCTTCTGCGTGGATGTGAACAGGGTAAGATTGCATTGGTGAAGGCCAGTGGCAGTAATTGAGACTGCACCAGAGTCCTTTCCGGACAGAGGTTCAGCATTAATTCTTGATTTGCTGTGTCTGGAGGCATGTGTGTGTGCATGGGGTGGGTGTTTGGAGGAAGTTCAGTAAGACATCATGGCTACTTGAATGTAGTTTTTATTGCTTAATGCATAGATGTTCCAGGGTTATCTTTTTGAATGCACATTTTAAGCAGTTCTTAAACCATGTGGTTAAGCCCTAGGATAAAACAGATCCACCCTGTCTGTACAGACTATTGGAAAACATAGCTTTGATTTGATATATTTCTTCCCTGCAGAACTCATCATTTGCTTAGAACATTTTTCAAAGGGCCTCTCGTTATCCAAACAGACCAAAGTTCCCTGGAAGCAGTTATTTAAAAAGGCCCCTATCTGGTAAGTAAATGTCACAGCCATGTGTGTTGTGGATGTCAGCCCCTCTCTCGTGCAGAATTTGGTTTTGTTGTTGCTCCATCTTCCTTCCATTCTGAAGCCTTTGTGTCCTGCTCCTGGAGTTAACTACCACCATGCATTGCCAAACTAGGCCAGCCGGGGGCAGAATGGTGGGTCTTTCCAAGGTTGCTATTTTTATTTGATAGCTATTTATTTATTTAGGAAGTTTTAACAGGTTTACGAATCATTGCCATGTAAATATCCGAATCAAAACAATAATCATTACACCAATGAGCTTATCACTAGGCAGTAAATTAAACATCATCATTTAGCACGGTATGACCATATTACAGAGTGAGTTTCTTTATACCATCCAATCCCCTGTGAATTATATTTGTCTGTTTTACAAGCAGTGCTTCAAACAGTCCAGGGCATAATGCCACATTCTGTATTTAGAGAGACAAGGTGGGGGCAGTAATATCGTTTATTGGACCAACTTCTGCTGGTGAGAGAGACAAGCTTTCGAACTACACAGAGCTCTTCTTCAGGTTTTTCCAAGACCTGTGGCTCGAAAGCTTGTCGTTGTCACCAACAGATGGTTCAATAAAAGATATTACCTCCCGCACCTTGTCTGGCGTTGCATACACTCTGCATTTGCTGCTCAGAGGACACTGGGTGCTGTCATCTTTGCTCTCGTTGCAGAGAGTGATAACCAAAAAATGCTCTTTTAATTGTCATTTTGACTTAATAAACTATCTCAGGAGACATTACATCCTCCTAGTTTAGGGTTCTGGATTTAACACTGTCCAGCCCAGAGCAGGGGAATGATTTTGCGTTGCTCTACACATCTGCCTTGTGGCCATTTAATGAAAGACAGTGACAGGATCTGAGGGAAAATGGCCATGGCTTTAAAGATAGTAAGGGGATAAGCAGGGAAATGGGCAATACCCTAGTACTCTGGAAAGGGTGTAGAGGATGCACTGGTAAGAATGAAGCTATATTAATAATGTGAGCTTAACATGAAGCTAGTAATTCTCCCTGGTACGCTTGCATTGAAGTGTCCTCTCAGATATGGTTCTGTTCAAAACCACCTGTGTTATTGTTTAAATGTCAACACCACCCCAGCTAGTATACTAGATTAAATCAGTTGCTTATTATCGTTAATATCTGGGCTTGAATGGACATGTTTGCCTGACAGTCCTAAACAAAATCCCAAGGAAGGGCACAAGTCCTGCTCTAAGTCAGGAGCTGATGGGATCTTTCATAGTGAGACGCACTCCATGAGTATGACGGTTATCAGTACTGATTGTATCATAAGTTATCAAGATATCAAGGCCCCATTCAGAGCTGCCTATGGTGAAAGCATCATGGGAATAAGCGGGTGCATTGCTCTATCCTCTTGCTCTGGCAGTCAGCTGGGGTTAGTTATCTCCAATAAATCGCAGGAAGCGGCTTCAGTACTATAGAGGGTTTATTTATATGCCTGACACCACTGCCTTGAAGGAGCGGGTAGCTAGAATCCCCTTTCTTTATCCAATGTGATCTGTCGTCTTGACGGATTCTTTTTCCCATTGTATATTTACAGGGCTGTCATAGTCGCTCAGCTTGCTACGGGCAGTACATTTTTCACCCTTCTCTCCTGGTTGCCAACTTTCTTTAAAGACACTTTTCCCGAGTCTAAGGTAGGCTGACACCACAGCAAAGGGGAGACTCTGAAAGCTCAGTATGAACAAAGAGATGTAGTATTCTCCATGTGTTTACATAGCTCCCGTTAACATTGGGAATCTTTGCATTGACTTCAGCAGGCTCTGGGTCAGGCCTGAAGAGAACGGCCCTTTCGGTATCTGAGCCAATGACACTAGTAGGTTGACTTTAGTCCCCTTCGCCCCTACATTTGATTCTGATTGGTCTAGTCCTTCTGCATTGTTCTGACAGGTTCACTCACATTTTGTCGCTTGCCCTGTCTTGCCACAGGGTTCCCCCTGAGAATATGTCAGGGAGTAACACTCTCGGTCAAGCTCTCAAGGAGAAATCGCTCCTGCACTGTCCAAGGCTTCCTTTGTAGCCCATGAGATCTAACGCAACTCCCCCAAAACACACAGCTGGTAACTGGGCCACAGATTTTGGATGAGACAGGAAGACAGTGTCAATATAGGAGAAAAGCTTTTTCTTGGGATCAAGCATTGCTGAGAGGGAGAGAAGGGGGAAGAAGAAGGAGGAATGATTTCTGCCCCATATGGATGTGCTGTAACCTTAAATACATGGTGGTTGCCTGTTGCCTTTACCCCTGATTCTTATGTTAAGGTGTTGGCAAGCAGGGAGTATATGCTTGATATATGCAGCTATTTAATAATAGGAGAATAGAAACTTGTACCTCCCACACGTCCCTTCTAAAACAAAGTTACAAATGTAGGCCCTGATCCATGCCATCAAATCCCCCCACTTGCACCTGCATGGGATCTGATTGCAGGATCTGGCCATATTGTTTAACTATCCAAATGCACCAGCAGTGCCAAGAAATAGCATTGCCTGCTCTGACCCTTTCCAGTAGCGTCAACATGCTGCTTTTCCCCCGCATCAGCAGCTCTCCGTCATGGATCCCTTTCTCACAGAGTTTTGTGTGGTCTCTAGGCTGCCCTGTTATGGGTGGGGATGGCACAGAGCTCATAGCTGCAAGCAATTTCAGACAACCACCACGGGACTTTGTTACTGGACTGGCATAGCTGAGCTCAGAGACGTGGTGTTGTTAGTTGTTACAATGATGACAATTTTCATTACTAATTAATACACATTTTTTATTTGCAAAGCTCTGAAAAAAGGCCTCTCTCAGCTCTGCACAAATAAATCTCCTGTTTTTCTGAAACTTGGTTAAAGTTCTGCCGGGCTGAGATCTCGTATTTTTACAATTCATTCTGCCCACAGAACTCCCGAGATTGTCTTTTCGATGGTGGCTCTGTCGTGTGTTTCTGAAATTTCCCAGGGCCCCTTACATTTATCACATTAACCAGGGGCTTTATGACATACTTGATATTTGTATTAAAATCATGTATTAAACCAGAAAACATATTATTATAACAAGATTTGTAGCACTTCTTGTAATACGCTTGGGTAGCAGTGATTTGGTAATTTAGCCATCTGTTACATCTGTTTAATTCCTGTGCCCTTATGTAAGATGCTCTATATAATATTCCTGCATCTGGCCGTCGCTTCATAAATATTAACAACACGTGGATTCACTCAATGTAAATGTAAAGGGTTGACAATAATCCTTACTGTGGTAAAACTATGTCACCTACTGGCCAAACATACATGCTGCAGGTGAGCTGTTTTTCTCCCTCTGCTAATGTCCAGTTCAGTTAAAAGAATCCTGCACCTTTGGCCCATGCCATGAAGTGTGCTATGATTTGAAAAGGGACCCTATAAAATAACAATGTGGCACTGTTATATGTCCTTATGTTCTTCTTGTATACTTTGGGCTACAAGCTTAGAGGTGCTGAGCGAGAACAGCTTCAGCTGGCATCATTGGGAGCTGCAGGTGTTCAGCGCTTCTGAAACTCAGGCTCCCATTTTGCAAACTGCCAACGCAATTTAGGAGCCTAAGTTCCATTTTCAAATGTGACTAAGGGCTATATTTCAAAGGTATTTAGGTGCCTAATGATAAAGATATGTGTCTACTGAGGTTGACAAAAGCATCTGAACAGGTTAGGTTCCTAACTCCCATTGAAGTAGGTTAGGGGCTTAACCTCTTTTGGTGCTTTGGAAAATCCCACTGGACACCTAAATACTTCTGAAAATCTGACTCTGTCTCACTGAAAGCCAGTGGGATATAGGCTCCTACATTACTTAGGTGCTTTTGAAAATGTTTCCGTTAGTCATCTTCAGTTACATCCATAATACACTTTCTCAGTTGAAAAGACAAAGCAAGATTTTCCTTTTTACCAGTCTTGAAAACTCAACCCTGGCATCAGAAAACCCAGCTGTGTTCCCTCAGCTGCATAGCAATGCTAGTTAGTAATAAAGCATCTGAAGTCTGAATGTAGCCTGCAGTTTTGCTGGTGGCCCATGAGGCTGGATAGAATACACAGTTTGCATATTGGCTCTGTGCTGCAGAATCTTGTTTGCCAGTAAACTCTGCTACTTTTAATCCTTTTCTTATAGTTGTAGAGAGAAATTTCTGCCTCTCTGTCATGGGTGTAAAGCGAGTCAGACTTTATGGTCATTAACAATTCACTTATTTATATAGCAGCATGTGTGCACATACATTACAGACCTCAGGCCCCATCCTGGAGTGCACCAGAACACTATAGAGCATTGGGCAGAGTGTTGTGAGAAAGTGGCTTAAAGCTCCTATGTTAGGTGAGCAAAAGCACCAGAAAAGGGTAAACCCTAATCTCCCATGCCCCCCCGTTCCCCCCCGCAGTATAAAGCCCATTAGTTGTAAACAAACTCTGGTCCACTAGCAGGATGTGAACCTTGCTTCTCTTCACTTTTTCTGTGAGGATTTTTCTCCCTTTCAGGGCTGGGTGTTTAACGTAGTGCCGTGGCTGGTTGCAATCCCAACAAGTTTGTTTAGCGGATTCCTGTCTGATCACCTGATCAATCAGGGTAAGAGATCCTTGGGTTGTTCATCAGCTCTGTCTTTTCATAAGGCAAAGAAAAGACTGGATGGGCGGAGATGGGTTTGATGAGAGAAAGGGGAAGCTGAGCTTCTGGCCTGCAACTTGGATAATTACTGTCCTCTACACAGCCTCTACGTATTTGTAACGCCCTTTGGCTTTGTCTACACTGGCAGTTCATCAGCAAAACTTTTGTCATTTTGTCAACAAAAGTTTTACCGACAAAAAGCCCTGGTGTGAACAGCGCTTTGTCGGCAGGAGTGCTCTCCTGCCGACAAATATGCTGCCGCTCATGAGGGATGGAAGCTCTCGCCTGCCGACAAACAGCAGCTACACTGCGCACATTTTAGCCTCGTAGTGTAGCCATACCCTTTGTCTTGTATGGGAGTTGTAAGCACCTAGCTGAGAACAGAATCTGACCCTGTGTGTTAAGTTTGCCTTACACTCACTCTCCTGGCATGAGCCCAAAGCTATGGGTGTTGAACTCGTCTAGTCTGAAACATTAGTCCCAGCTTCATTGAGAGGGGTCTAGTTTAAATCCCTCCAATCGTCTTCCTTTTCCCTTTCAGGCTATAAAACGATCACCGTTCGTAAGTTCATGCAGGTAAGAAAACGAAAGCCTGTGAGTGACACATCAGTTATCTGTTAGCACCGATTTTGCATGTCAGTCTAACAGTGGAAATCAGATTCGAGCTCTTGGGAAACTGGACTCATGAACTTGGTTACAAAAAGAGAGCTTTTATAGATGTGCAGATAGCTGGCAACCAGCATCCATGGGAAGGGAAACAGAGAGAAAGGCCATGACCTTTTCACTGGGCTTTGACAAACCATTACGTTTTAACAGTTTGCCTGGGAGTGGCAATTTTGTGAGCAATATGGAGGGTTTTTGCAGAGCAAGCGTGTTCTTTCACACTGAATGACTCTTCAGATTTTAGATTAAGGGAAACAGCAAAAGAATGAACAAGAATAAAATCCCTGTGCTCAAGCAGTGCATCCCTTCTGTAAAACAGTGGTTCACAAACTTTTTACTAAGGCGGCCCCCCAACTGCATTTGGTCTCTTATGGGGAGCCCTCGTTATATAGAGATGTACAGAAACGACTATTTTTTAAATCCTGGGCATGTACAACAGCAATTGTGAGTTTGTTCTCAGCCTTCTGCTCCTCATTCCCCTTCTCAGACCCTGCTCTTCCCTCACCAGCCTGGCCAAAACCCCTGCTCAGCTCCCCTCAACCCCTCAGGTGTCACACATCACCTCCATTTCGGTGCACATAACAAAATTCATTCCGCACATGGACGTCAAAAATGAGAGGGAACACTGGTCAGGACCCATCACTCGGGAAACACTGCTCTATAACATGCTCCATGGCCTCTGCCTCGCGAAAGGGCACTTGTCTGGGCAGATAGGCTGTCGCCTTCGGAATGTGCAGGTGCCATACAGAGGAAAGCAAGTCGTAAGAACCACCCAGCTCTGTGTTCAGAACCGTAGTGAGCCCTTCGGATTTCAAAAAGGGACAGCCCGTCTGCGATAGGAGCTACTTTTTTCACTGCAACTCACTGTGAATCCACTGCGGACACATCTTTAATTTTCTTTTTCCTTCAGGTCATCGGCTCAGGTGTATCAAGCATCTTCGCCTTGTGCATGGGTCAGGCATCCAGTTTTTGCAAAGCTATAGTATTTGCATCTGTCTCAATTGGACTTCAGACCTTTAACCACAGGTAATAATCATCATAGGACTAACGCATAGCTCTGACAGACTACTTTTCATCTGTGGTTCTCAAAGCCCTTTACGTAGGAGGCCATTATCATTATCCCCACGGGGGAAACTGAGGCACAAAGCGATGAAGTGATTTTCCCAATGTCACAGCCAAGAATAGAACCCAGGTCTTCAGAGGCTCAGCCTAGTGCCCCGTTCAATAGGCCATGCTGCTTTTATAGAGGAAGTTTATGCCAAACACCTGGCAGACAAATTGAATCAGTGTTTTATTTGTTACATGTGAAGAGATCTATTGGCCATCTAATCTAAGATCAAAGGCTTGAGGATTTATGCAGGCTTTACTGAGCTATGACTGTACATAAAGATGAAGTGTCCAGAACACGAGCACTGTAAGTGTCAGTAACTCAAGACAGCCAGCTAAATCCTTGTAAATACCCACTGCTGGGAAATATTAAATATATGACGCAATTAAAATTCAAGGATTTCTCTCACCGCTTTCCCACTATCTCTGCTTAGTTCTGAAACAGCCCAGCATAGGGCCAGACTGGGGGTAATGGATGAATACGCTGCTTACCAGATGGGGCAGCCAGGTTGCTGCAGATCAGGTCTGAGCTGCATTATGAGGTTTGTATGGGCGTAGCTTCCACAGCACTTTCCTACATATGCCAGCCTCTAGCAAAGTCAATGGCAAATTCACCCCATGGTTTTTAAACTGTTATTTACTTCAGTCCACTTAGAACTGGGAATTTCCCCCCAACTTTAGCACAACTGTTTGTTTGGTTTTCTTTCTGCCTCTAGCTTTGTGTTATTATAGAAGCAAAGAAAGGCAGAAGAAGAACCAATGGCTAGAAGTTAGAGCCAGACAAATTCAAATAAGAAATAAGGCACTTTTTTTTTTTTAACAGCAGGGGCTGTTAACCTTTGGAACTAACGACCCAGCTCTTTGCTTCTTTTGTTCTGAAGCCTTTCCGTTCAGTTATTTTCCCATCTTGGTCCAATTTCAACCATATTTAGGTTCTCAGTTCCCTCCTTCTTCTCCCCACTGGGTTGGTTCAGATTGGTTCCCTTCATTGAGCAACAGCGTGCTTATCTCGTGTAAATTCTGAAAAACAATCAAAACCTGTTTAAAAATAAAAAGCCTTTACTTTCTCTTCTTTTTGTGAATAGTGGCATTTCAGTCAACGTACAGGATCTGGCTCCTTCGTGTGCTGGCTTGTTGTTTGGTAAGGTGGCGTTTTTAATGATTTTTATTTGCACAGAAAATATACCCATATATGGGGGATAATTCCGAGGAAACTACATGTAAACACATGTAACTGAGGGCAGAACGTGGCTCAATCCAGGTAGCCTTTTGACTTTATTAGGGTTGCAGAAATATAACAGAAGGTAGAGATTGTTAATATCCACGACCCAGCTCTGCATGTCGGAGAGAAATTAACAAAGGACTAGATTGCGCCCTACCAAATTCATGGTCCAGTTTGGTCAATTTCACGGTCATAGGATTTTAAAAATCGTAAATTTCATGATTCCAGCATTTAAATCTGAAATGTCACGGTGGTGTAATCGTTGTAGGGGTCCTGACCCAAAAAATGAGTGGGGGGGAAGGGGGGTCACAATGTTATTGTAGCGGGGGTTGCGTTACTGCTGTTGTCACTTCTGCACTGCTGCTGGCGGGGCGCTGCCTTCAGAGCTAGGTGCCTGGCCAACAGCCGCTGCTCTTTGGCTGCCCAGCTCTGAATTGCAGCACTGCTGCCAGCAGCCGTGCAGAAGTAAGGGTAGCAAGGGTGGCAATGCTGCGACCCCCCTAAAATAATTTTGACACCCCCCCCCCGCAACTCCCTTTTGGGTCAGGACCCCCAATTTGAGAAACGCTGGTCTCCCCTGTGAAATCTGTATCGTGTAGGGTACAAGCACACAAAAGACCAGATTTCACAGTCTGACACATTTTTCATGGCCGTGAATGTGGTAGGGCCCTACTTATGAAACTGAGTGGCTTTATGGGTGCGTAGGGAGAGTGCAAGGAGTCCTCTCCCCACACAGCAGCCAGACTCACGTGCAGTCTCTGCATCCCCCTGGGAGAGCAAGGCATCCTGAAAGCAATGGGGAGGAGGTGGACCCTGCCCTCTACACACTGGACAGCTGAGCTATTACAGAAAGTATATGCTAAATGTGTGCTCACGGATTCCTAGCAAGTATCTTATGGTTAGAAGCACTGTGCGCAAATTGATGTGATGCAGTGTTTTGCTTCTCTTTACAGGTGTTGGAAATACAGGTGGAGCCCTATTAGGTAAGGGATTTTCCTGGAATTATCCCTCATTTGGGGGATCCTCTGGCTGAGCTGACATTACAGGGCAAGGACCTGGCCTATTTCTATTTGATTCATTTCTGCTCTCTTTCTGTACACAGGTGTCATTTGTGTGTATTTAGCTGGACATCTGATTGAAACCACTGGTTCCTGGGTTTCTGTTTTCAACCTTGTGGCTACAGTTAATGCCCTGGGGCTCTGTACATTCCTGATCTTTGGAGAGGCCCAAAGGATGGACACAGACTCTGCGTACATAGATCTATAGTCGCTGTAAAGATGGGTTCAGCAAATGAAATCTGCTGAAAGGTTCAGGACTGTCATGTCTATTGATAGCTGTTGTGCAAATGGTTGTTTGCAGAAGAGAATATTATTATTTTGTAGAATTTAAATAGAAAAAAATCTATTGAGAGAATATTATGGGCCGGAACTAAACCCAGAGGAGGGAGGAAATCCAGAGTTAAAACTTAGCTCAGGGGATGGCTGATGGTTATGGAGCCTTTCAGCTCTAGGTCACAAGTTTGAATTTGAATTCACTAGTGCCTGAACGAAGCAGCTCCTGGCCTATGTGAAATCAGTTGGTAGCTCTAGTCAGTTCCTAGTGCAGGAAATGCCATTCCAGTTGACACTAAGTGGTACCTTAGCTGGGAGTCTCAGCAGAGATGTCAAGGACTGAACCGCTCATTGAGAGCGAACTCCACTTTTATCCTGAGAGATGCTCCCTCCAGGACAGAGACGAGGCATCTGAGCAGTGCGGGAATCATGCATTGCAGGTGTCCATGTTCTACCTGTTCTGTGACTGAGAAGATCACTCCTATCTTCAGGGCTGTCAATCAGTTCCTTTCATCAACACTAAATGAACTTAATAATACCAAGGACTGTCCTTAACTCACCCTTGTGTGCCTCAGTATTGCCATACATATAACAGGTACAATCAGGGTGTACAAAGGAATGGGTTCAGAGTTGTTTTGCCATATGCTGTGAATGTATATGATGGGTGGCTCACATTCTGGACTATGGATCCATAATATCAAGTGCTTTCTGCTTCACTAGGTCTGTTCCCAGTGTGCATTGAAAGGAATGCAGGAGACAGTCCAAAGAGCCCGAAAAGTGCATGTTATGTATTTACATTAATTGTAGGGCTTGTTTCTGTGTTATGGATCCATACTGCTCAATGCTCACCAAAGGGGTTACCATGCCGCTGCAGTACATGCTTTTGAGCCTGATTGTGTTAAGTTATTTATAATTTTTTACTTTAAATACCAAAAAGCCTTCATCCACTTTATGCTCGAAAGAGGTGATTCTGCAAGCTGTTGCGTGTGGGACCTCTTGCTGCAATCAATGAGAGTTCTGTGAAAGGAAGGATTTAACAGCCTGCAATTTTATTTTGTTAGGGCTTATTTTAAATACGGAGGTTCATGTAAAATCATAACATGTCTTCTCCCCGCTCCCATGCTTAGAGCTTTTGCAAAACCTATTTGGTTCTGTTTAGCATCTGTGTTTTAAAAAATTGTACTTGTGGAGTGAATGAGCAAGGGACAAAATTTCAAAGGGGCCACAACCCGGCATCTTGGTTTTAAGTTTCAGTTCTGTTCTCCAGTCCGTGGCAAGGACTGTCGCTCGGGAATTGGCCTTTTTAGCGACTCGTGATGCTGCCTCACGACACCTAGCAACTGATCTGCTTTAACACTTATGCCATCATCTGTTGAGGCAGACGGTTGCCACGGCATACGAATCAGTTTCGAGCATGGCTTAGGGCATTTCAGGGCCAGGACCTAAACTGGTGTAAATTATTGTTGCTACATAATGAAGACATAACAATTTACACCTGCTGCCAAACCTGCACTCACCAAAATGTTGTGGATGTGAAATTTACAGGCTCAGATTTAATGCCCAGATTCTTTGAAAATTTGTCCCTCCCGCCCCCCTTTTTGTGTGTGTGTGTGTGTGTGTGTGTGTGTGTGTGTGTGTGTGTGTGTGTGTGCGCGCTAAATTTCAGCTCAGAACATATTTACAACCAAGTCATAAACTTCTGAGTGCACAGGTTCATAATGAAAATATTGACGGATCTTTTAACTGCGCGGGTGCTAATGAGCTCTACTAATATGCACTGAACTTTAATGCATACTGAGATATTAATAGATCATGGTGATCCTGTCCAATGGCTTGACAACAGTTTACAGGTACGTGTGGTCTGGGACCAGAGAGGGGAGCCGAACCCTCCTCCTTGTGTGCTTTTTCTCCAGTAGTAGCCAGCGGTGGACTTGCAGTTACATCTCACTGCCCCGCATCCTGACACCAGATGACACTGCTGGTAGGTGTTTTAAAACTGTCAGGAAACTGCAAGCATAGTTGCTATAAAGAGGACTTACAGGAGAGAATGCAAGGCTATGTCTTTGGCTTCACATTTCCCTCCATCAGCCGCACACCATATTAGTGAAAATGATGCAGGAAACCGCAGAGCGTACCAATTGTTGGACCCGTCCGTGATGACAGATCTGGTCACCCTGAGTCCTGCAGCATTCAAGAGGAATCCAGACAATGGTGCTGTTCAGAGTTTTAACCAGTTTTGAGTTGTATGTCTAACCTGACTCCCATCCACACACAAAAATCTCTAGCTCAAGTTAAGCAGTGCTTTTAAGCTGGAGCTAGCTGGTCCGTCAAGCTAGTGGGATGAAGTCTGAGTGCTGCTGATGCTTGAGTTGTTAATGCAGGGGAAGGCAGCAACCCAACTCACAACAACTCAGCTGCTAACCCACTTGCTCTGTAAAGCCTGAGTGTGGTTTTGCAATGTAGTTGCTCACACGGGGGGTATATCTGCACTGCAATTGGAGGTGTGACAGCAGCACATGTAGACATACCTGAGCGTGCCTTGATGGCGCTAGACCAAAGTTAGCTCAAGTCACAAAAGCAGTGAAGCTACCTGCGGTGTGTCTTCATGCGCTGCAGTCACTCAGTCCGATTGCAGTGTGGACGTACTGTAGGCTAGCTCTACTGGAATAACTCAATCTGACTGTTGCAGTGAAATCGAGCCCAGAAAAACCAAAGCAGCACTGCTGGCCGCGCCTACTTTTGTAATCCCATGGGCAGCTAACATTTTGGTACATGGTCTTGGTTGTCTGTGTCTGTCCATCTAGCACGTGCTGGTATCTTATATATGTGAAGCATGTTTGATGCTTTTTTCTATGTGTTTTATGCATTTTGATAAGGTATTGAGACCATTGTACAGGGCTATATGTTTTTTAAGAGCAATCTTGCCTAACCTTGCTTGTGTGACAATGGTTGTTGCAGTAAGAAAGACCTGCCAAAAATAAAGGAAACCAATCAGATGAACAAAGCCTAGTTTTCATTTAAATAGATAGGTGCAACATGATAAGGCTAATAAGGGAGAGCCAGATCACTCAATGTGATTAAGTATTAAAGTAGCAATTTATTCAGCTGACTCATCCGCTTTAATTTACATTCTCAAGACCAGATTTTCAAAGGTAAAGAGGCAGATAGGTCCTTTGAAAATCCCACTAGATGCCTTAACTCCCATTGAAATCAAAAGTGGAATCAATCCAGTTTCCCCAACTGGTATAAGCTATACCAGTATAAGGACAGTTGTACCAATATAACTGTGTTTGCAGCTCGGGCTTTGACCATCATAGCTATATCAGTAAAAATCACACCTCTAACTGACACAGCTATGCTAGTAAAACTTTTAAGAGTAGAGCAGGCCTTTACAGTGGACTTGGGCAAGGACTTCTCATTGAAGGCACTTCACCCCCATAAAAATCAAAATGTTAACGAAGGAGATTAAGAATGGATACAAAACAAAAAGCCCAGCACATACTATCATCCAGGGTGAATACTGGGGTTTTCAGCAAGCTACCATGTGGAGGTGGGGGCTGTCAGTTTAAGAAATGGAAACAGTCTCTAGAGAGAGGAATGAGAAGACCTTGCAGGAATTTTAGGAAGCTGTCCTTCAAATTCCAAAGGATTTGCTAGATTAGAATGATGCAGACACGCCAATTCTCACGATTTTGCCTGGTGATATTTGGTGATTTTCTTAAAGCTCTAGCTCCTGGAAGAGTGTGTGGAGGGGAGAGTCTCAACTTGCATTAAAAAAAGAAAAGAAAAAAAGAGTGAGGTTTTGTCCCTCACTGTTGAGGAGAAAAGCTTGAAAACGTGACTCAAGTGCCACCTACATGCTCAAACCAAATGGCAAATAAAACGAACCCAATGTTTCTCGTGATTAGCCAATCTCCTAATTTTTTGTGGCTTGGGCTTGGCGATGCTGATGATGTCTCTACATAATATCCTCTCCTTAAAGAAATGCGTATTTCAACCAGGTGCTGCATGAATTGCACTGCCGAGTATAGCAGAGATGCTGGAGCTTGGCTCTATACATATGCTTTTTAAAAAGTGACATTATATACAGATGGATAGAAGTGTAATTGGCTCATAAAAATTAAGGGTTCTGATGTGTCCTGAACCCTGGAACGATTTAACTGAGGCAGGGGAGGTAGTGGGGTGAAAAAACTAAAATTGGGGTGTTGAATCTCTGTGATGTCATAAATGAACACTTCTGAACTGGAACTCTCAAGATGGTTTAGTTGACAATTCTTCCCATAGACCCTTGGAACATTTAATATTGTTTATTTATTAGAATAATTATTAACAAAAGCAGACTCAAAATACTATAGAAAATATACACCTGTATTACAAATGTGTCTATCAGCAACAGGTGTCCTTTTAAACAGGAATATAACTCTCATCTCTGTTTCTAAGTATTAACTTCCATTAAAAAAAGCCCAACCACAACAGCTATGTAATAATACAATAAAGTGTGCGGTCATTTTGGGGGTGGGGAATGGTAAATTTGACAATCTGAATTATCAACACAGAGACAATAATTCTCAATATCCACCTTTGGACTGGATGTGCAGATTTAAAATGAAACAATCCTGCATCTTTCAGTTTTACTTAAAATAGACATCAACCTCTTCAGGGGGAAAAAAAAAACTTCAGTTAAAGAAAAGTAAATCCCTGCAGTCTTTAAATGTTTTTAGAGACTTTAGAGACTGTCACTGTTAAGACAGGTTTCAGAGTAACAGCCGTGTTAGTCTGTATTCGCAAAAAGAAAAGGAGTACTTGTGGCACCTTAGAGATAATAAATAAATTGATTAGTCTCTATGGTGCCACAAGTACTCCTTTTCTTTTTACTGTTAAGACATTTGACTGCATATGCAAATCAGGTACTTGCATGCACAAATGGCCAGTTGTGCAGGCAATCATGGTAATTGCATATACAAAGTAGGCACACACATTTCTGTGCAAGCAGTTATACATCTGAGCTTTTGCAAATCAGGCTCTTATAGCTGAGGGGGGAAAACAAAGGGGCTCCTCAACAAAGCACAAACTTAACACGGAAACAGACTCAAGCTATTTACAAGATAATTGAATTCTTAACAAAGTAACATTCTGTCCCCTGTAGCTCATGAAAGCTTATGCTCAAATAAATTTGTTAGTCTCTAAGGTGCCACAAGTACTCCTTTTCTTTTTGTCCCCTGTATGTTAATCATTGTCCTCTAGGACTTCATAGGATTTTTCTTCCTTGAAGAAAGTTCTCATTGTTAGCCTACATAGATTGATGGTTTCCCTTTAATCTGGTATTCAATTATCCAAATAATTATTATTGACATTTATAATCTGAATTTCCCTTAGTTACAATTGTCCATCTTTTACTGCATATCTAAGACTCTTGGGACAATATATTCCTTGTATATTAATCCTTCATTATTCATATTTTGAGTTATTGCAGTAAGTGGGCACTAATTACATTTATTTTTAAGTGTAAAGTTACTGTGTTAATCACTGACCGAGTAGGAGACTAGAGTCCTTCTGGTGTATTTTACCATAGACAGGTCGCCTTCAGCTGGGAGCATGCTATAAAGAACGCTCTCTTGGCCTACCTAATAGCTTCATACAGATTCCAACAGAGAGAGCTGTTAGATTTGGGATGGGGATGTGTCAATGCACGTCAAGCTTGTTGACTTGGTTCTGAACGGCTGGCACTAATGGTACAATTAGGAGTTAAGTTGTTTCCTCGGTTCTGACTGTCCAAGACACTGGCAGGAATGCTTCTTGCTGAAGTTTCTGACCTCTGTTATTCATATAAACAGAGGCACATTCACTTGGCCTCATGTATGATCATTTGCTTTTTCTTTTCATATGCATGTTCAGCAATTATACAATGATATGATATAAGAAAGAAGTGTAGACATAAATTTCAATGGAGATGGAAATAGCCTTCAAAGGTATTCGAAACCTAAATAATTGAGGATCACAGAATCCATTGGCTGCTCTTTTTTTCTTTTTATCCCCCCTACCTGTAGCTGGAGTGCAGCGTGAAACTTTGTGTCTTTAGGCAATGTGCTGAAGAAGTGGTTTGAAAAACCTGAATTCCTTTGCAACTTCACCAGGCTTGGGAGCCCAAGATAGGGTCTTTTGTTACCATGCCTACAATGATGTGAAATCCCCTCAGTTAAGCTATTTTGAGCTATAAAAGCTCTAAATGTCCTGGGACTTACCTAAGAGACTGCCTCTCTCCTGGTGACATAGCTGCCACCACATTAAGCCTCATCCGGATCAGAGAGAGGGCTGACCTCTGTCAGAGCCCCCGACCTTTGCAACTACCTTCCTCCGCAGGGCTGGAACAGCCTGCGCTTGTCAGCATTCCAGTCCAGCTTTTTGCTTTTGCCGTGGGGATAAGGGTGTGAGGTTGGGCTGGGCAGTGGGGTTGGGACTCTGGAGATTGTGTGCCTGGGTGCATTAACTGCAGTTATATTTATGTTGTTGGAGTTGAACTGACTCTGTGGGAACTGATGAAAATTGTCCAGGACATATTCAATGCATGGCACAGGCC